TCCGAAATTCAACTCAAAAATTATCAGTGGGGCCCACACATCGGAACTCGATAAAAGTTATAAAATATGAATGCACATTCAACCACGAGTCCAACCATACCAAGTTTACCAAGTTCTGACATCAACTCGACCTCCAAATCCTCAAATCTTATTTTCAAATCTCTAGGCCCAATTCCTCGAATTGCACCTCAAAAACACGTAATCTAGTCGAAATACTCAATGATAATTCAATATTATTAACTAATGATAATTCTACATTATTAACTAACGATGATCACAAGTGACTTAACTCAAGTTTTCCCATGAATTCCCTGTGAAATATTTCCCCAAACCGTGCTTGAATGGTCCAACACTGGCAAAATCTCGGAACCCCTTCTAAATATCTACTACCTAGGGGTTCCGCACCTGCGACTCACTTAGCCACTTCTGGGGTCTCGCAGGTGGGAGAAACCAACTGCTTCTGTGGTTTGCCAAGGCCTTCACTGCCTCTGCTTTTGCGAGACCCAGTCCACTTATGCGGTTCCCCGTTCGCATTTGTGATCACGCAGGTGCGGAAAGTCCCTCGCAACTGCGACGACTGCCTTACCAGCCCATATCCGCTTCTGCGATCGTATTTTCACTTTTGCGGTCGCGCACCTATGACCAATTCCATCGCATGTGCGATTGCACCAGAACAGGAAAAACATTTCCAAAATTGTTCTATGTCCAAATTTCAATCCGTTAACTATCTGAAACCCACCCGAGGTACCCGGGTCCTCAACTAAATACACCAACAAGTCATAAATCATCATACAAACTTAGTCGAGGTCTCAAATCATATCAACAACGCTAAAATCATAAATCGCACCCCAATTCAAGCCTAATGAAAACAAACAAATCCCAACTTCTGCATTGATGCCGAAACCTATCAAATCAAGTCTGATTGACCTCAAATTTTACACACAAGACATAAATGACATAATAGACCTATTCCAATTTTCAAAATCGGATTCTGACCCCAATATAAAAAGGTCAACTCCCGGTCAAACTTCCAAACTTTAAATTTTTAATTTTTTCCATTTCAAGCCAAATTTAACTACAAACTTCCAAATAGTTTTTCAGACACACTCCTAAGTCCAAAATCACCATACGGAGCTATTACAATCATCAAAACTATATTCTGGAGTCGTTTACACATAAGTCAACATCCAGTCAATTATTTCAACTTAAGCTTTAAATATAAGAACTAAGTGTTCCCATTCATTCTGAGACCTCCCCGACAAGTCACATAATTATAATTAAACACAAGATAAGTAGTAAATGGGGGAATGGGGCTATAATACTTAAAAATGACTGACTGGGTCATTATATTCTCCCCTTCTTAAATAAATATTTAAGCTCGAACGGGTTTAGAATCATACCTGGAGTCTCAAATAGGTGTGAATATTTTATCCTCATCTCTCGCTCAGTCTCCCAGGTAGCTTCTCCGACTAGTTGGCCTCTCCACTGCACTTTCACTAAAGTTATGTTCTTTGATCTCAACTTTCGAACCTACCGGACCAAAATGGCCACTGGCTCCACGTCATAAGGCAAATTACCATCCAACTGAACCGTATTGAAATCCAAAACATGTGACGGATCTCCGACATACTTTCGGAGCATAGATACATGAAACACTGGATGAACACCCGATGGACTAGGCGGCAATGCAAGTTCATAAGCCACTTCTCCAATTCTTTTAAGTAATTCAAAAGGCCCAATATACCGAGGACTCAAACTACCCTTCTTCCCGAATCTCATAACAATTTTAATAGGCGAAACTCGGAGAAGTACTTTTTCTCCTACCATGTATGCAACATCGCAAACCTTCCAGTCGGCATAACTCTTTTGTCTAGACTGCGCCGTGCGAAGTTGATCCTGAATCAATTTAACTTTTTTCCAAATCATCCTAGACTAAATCAGTACCCAATAGCCTAGCCTCACCCGGCTCAAACCAACCTACCGGAGACCGACACCGTCTCCCATACAAAGCCTCATACGGAGCCATCTAAATGCTCGATTGGTAGCTGTTGTTATAGGCCAACTCTGCAAGTGGCAGAAACTGATCCCAAGAACCCCCAAAATCTATAACACAAGCGCGTAGCATATCTTACAATATCTGAATCGTGAGCTCAGACTTCCCGTCCATCTGAAGGTGAAATGTTGTACTCAACTGTATCCGTGTGCCTAACTCTCGCTGCACTGCTCTCCAAAACTGTGATGTAAACTGCGTGCCCCGATCTGAACTGATGGACACTGGCATACCGTGAAGGCGAACAATCTCACGGATATAAATCTCAGCCAGATGCTTCGAAGAGTAAGTAGTCCCAACTGGAATAAAATGCACGGACTTGGTTAACCGATCCACAATCAACAAAACAACATCAAACTTCCTCGAAGTCCGTGGGAGTACAACTACAAAGTCCATGGTAATACGCTTCCATTTCCACTCCAGAATTTCAACTCTCTGAAGCAATCCTCTCGGTCTCTGATGCTCATACTTCACCTATTGACAGTTTAAACACGGAGCTACAAACCCCACTTTATCTTTCTTCATCCTTCTCCACCAATAATTCTGCCTCAAGTCCTGATACATCTTAGTGGCACCCGGATGAACGGAATACCGCGAATTGTGGGCTTCGTAAAGAATCAACTCATGTAGTCCATCAACATTTGGTACACAAATCCGACCCTGCATCCTCAGCTTCCATCATCTCTAATAGTAATATCTTTGGCATCGCTGTGTTGAACTTTGTCCTTCAGGACAAGAAAATGGGGATCATCCTACTTGCGCTCTCTGATGCGGTCATATAAGAAAGACCGAGAAACCAGATAAGCTAGAACCCGACAGGGCTCCGAAACATCTAACCTCACGAACTGGTTGGCTAAGGCCTGAACATCTAATGCAAGTAACCTCTCCCCAATAGGAATGAAAGCAAGGCTATCCATACTAACCGCCTTTCCACTCAAGGCATCGGTTCCGGGATGATACAGAATAATAATATCATAGTCCTTTAGCAGCTCCAACCATCTCTGCTGCCTCAAATTTAGATTCTTCTATTTGAATAGGTGTTGAAGACTCCGATGATTTGTAAATACCTCACAAGACACACCATAGAGATAGTGCCTCCAAATCTTTAGTGCATGAACAATAGTTGCCATATCTAAATTATGAACATATAGTTCTTTTCATGTGGCTTCAACTGGCGCGAAGCATAAGCAATCACTCTATCCTCCTGCATTAAGACACACCTTATACCGATCCGAGAAGTATCACAATACATTGTATAAGAGCCTGAAGCTGAAGGCAAAACTAGAACTGGAGTTGTGGTCAAGGTAGTCTTGAGCTTCTGAAAGCTCTCCTCAAACTTATCCGACCACTTGAATGGAGTACCTTTCTGGGTCAATTTAGTCATAGGTGCCGCAATAGATGAGAAGCCCTTCACAAAGCGATGATAATACCTGGCCAAGCCGAGAAAACTCTGAATCTTAGGAGCTAAAGATGGCCTGGACCAACTCTGAACTACCTATTTCTTCTTCGGATCCACCTTCAATTCTGAATGATATGAGAAATATGACATCTCTATATCTACATGCTAATGTACATGATGTATGTGATGCACCTCAGTGGAAACCTCGTGTACTCACAATCTTAAAATACTCAATCACTTAGTACTGTATAGGGATAATCCTGCCCAGGGAAGATCCATCCAAATATAATATCAGCTGACAATCAGTCGCTCAGTACTGTGTAAGGCCAATCCAGTCCAGGGAAGATCCATCCCAAATATAGATTATTAGGCAAGATCCATGTCTGGGAAAATCCATCCTAAAGTATAAATGATTCGGGCAAGATCCATGCCGAGGGAAGATCCATCCCTCAATATAAAATCAACCACGCTCACTGTGGGGGGTGCAGACTCCGAAGGGACTCCTTCAGCCCAAGCGCTATAATAGCAAGATCCAGATATAAATAAATAAAATATAATGCGGCGTGCAGCCCGATTCTATAAATATCACTCAAAATTTCCAGTCTCTTGGGCTGTCAATGACACGAAAATCAACCCGACATGATGATATGATGTATCAATGAATGACAATAGGGACTGAGATAAGATATGCAAATGATAGATGTGACAGAGTATAAAATTGTAAATTTAAACAAGTAATTCAATAGCAATAAGACCTCTGTGGGTTTCAAAAATATCGGCACGTAGCCTAAACATGATCTTTAACATGAGTCTCAGCTCAATTTCTTCTCTAACACGTGGAGGATATGTGGATAATGAAATGATTATTTGATTATGCAACTCCACGGAATCAATTAAGTCACAATTTCTATGGTGCACGCCCACACGACCGTCACCTAGCATGTGCGTCACCTCCAAACATTTCATATAACACGAAATCCAGGGATTCATACCCTCATAACCAAGTTTAGAAGTGTTACTTACCTCAAACCGTGAAATTCTTTATTCCAATACGTCTTTGCCTCGCGAATTAGCCTCTGAATGCCTCGTGTCTAGTCATAATTAATTCGATACAGTCAACACAAATTATAGGAATCAATTCCATATGAAAATACTAAATTTTCCAACAAATCTGAAATTCAACTCAAAAATTATCAGTGGGGCCCACATATCGGAACCCGACAAAAGTTATAAAATATGAACGTCCATTCAACCACGAGTCCAAACATACTAATTTTATCAAATTCCGACATCAACTTAACCTCCAAATCCTCAAATCTTATTTTCAAATCCCTAGGTCCAATTCCTCGAATTTCACCTCAAAAACACGTAATCTAGTAGAAATACTCGATGATAATTCAATATTATTGACTAACAATGATCACAAGTGACTTACCTCAAGTTTTCCCGTGAATTCCCTCTTAAACATCGCCCCAAACCGTGCTTGAAAGGTCCAAAAATAACAAAAGCTCGGAACCTCTTGGAAATGTATACTGCCCAGGGGTTCCACACCTGCGACTCACTTAGTCGCTTCTGCGGTCTCGCAGCTGCGAGAAACCAACCGCTTATGCGGTTTGCCAAGGCCTTCATTGCCTCCGTTTCTGCGTCCTTGAAGCCGCTTCTGCGAGACCCAGTCCGCTTCTGCGAGGCCCAGTCTGCTTCTGAGGACTTTGCGCTTCTGCAGTTTTCCATCCGCATTTGTGATCACACAGGTGCGGAAAGTCCCTCGCACCTGCGACTACTGCCTCATCAGCCCCTATCCGCTTCTGCGATCGTCTTGTTGCTTCTGCAGTCGTGCACCAGTGACCAATTCCATCGCAGGTGCGATTGCACCATAACTGGAAAAACAAAATTCCAGAATTGTTCTAAGTCCAAATTTTGATCCGTTAACCATCCGAAACTCACCCGAGGCCCCCGGGACCTCAACCACGAATCGCACCCCAACTCAAGCCTAATGAAAACTAACAAAACCCAACTTCTATATTTGATGCCGAAACCTATCAAATCAAGTCCGATTGACCTCAAATTTTGCACAAAAATCATAAATGACATAACGGACCTATTCCAATTTTTAAAATCAGATTCCGACCCCGATATCAAAAAGTCAACTCCCGGTGAAACTTTCAAACTTTAAATTTCCTATTTTTGCCATTTCAAGCATAATTTAACTACGAACTTTCAAATAATTTTCCGTACACACTCCTAAGTCCAAAATCACAATACAGAGCTATTGGAATTATTAAAACTCTATTCCGGAGTCGTTTACATAAAAGTCAACATCCGATCAACTATTTCAACTTAAGCTTTAAATATTAGAACTAAGTGTTCTCATTCATTCTGAAACCTCCCCGACAAGTCACATAATTATAATTGAACACAAGATAAGTAGTAAATGGGGGAACAGTACTATAATACTTAAAACGACTGGCTGGATCATTACATACTTGTTACAATATATAAATATAATATAATAATATNACATATCGATTGTCAACCTCTCTATCTCTCGTTCTTTATTTCTTTGCTTGCTTCATCGTTCTCTTTTGTTCTTTGTTCAATTGTTGTCCTCAACTTTCTCCAGACTTTGGCTAAATAAATCTTTGCTTGAAAAAGGAAGAGAGCAGAGAAAGATATAGTTTCTTTTTATATAGTTATAATTTCCAAGAAATCTTGAAGGAATGGCCAAGATTACTAATGGGTAAAGTTCTTCAGTCACTTTAATGTGTTAAAAATAGTCTTGTGGTTTTACGATAAAATTTGGTGATCTTATTATTATAGTACATAAAGTTCAGTTGCTTCAATGCAAAAAAATTATTTTATGAATGTATTTACATTTGCAGATTTGGAGGACATGATATGTTGGCACCCTTCACTGCTGGGTGGCAGAGTGATATGGGTCCTTTAATTATAGAAAAGTCGGAGGTTAGATTTGTGTCTTTTCTTTGGTTATTTAATTGAAGAACTTCTTCTGTGTTGATTTAACAATATTTGTGTAATTTTGGCATAGGGTTCCTATGTTTATGACATACATGGGAAGAAGTACCTTGATACGTTATCTGGTTTGTGGTGCAATCCCTTAGGTACGTTACCATCCCTTAGATAGAGTATACTTTTATTTATTTAATTATGTTTTTTCAGTATGTCTTTTACGTATGGGTTGTTTTTTTTTTCAAATTCATTTTCGTGATGGATAGCGGCGAGATTCGAAATCAGGACCTTCCTTTGATACCGCATTGAAATGTGTGATCATCTGATTTGATAAAAGTTTAACAGAGTATATTTAATTAATTTATTTATTTATTGTAGGGGGAAATGAGCCTCGTCTTGTTGAAGCTGCAAATAAACAACTCAACACATTGCCATTTTACCATTCATTTTGGAATCGTACAACAAAACCTTCTTTGGTATGTCGAACTCTCAGTTCAACAATTACTGTCCAGATTTGGCTATTATGTTTTACTTAGATTACAGGCTAATTTTATTTTTCAAACATACAGAATCTTGCAAAGGAGCTCATAGATTTGTTTACTGCAAATAAAATGGCGAAAGCTTTTTTCACAAATAGTGGATCAGAAGCCAATGACACTCAGGTTTTGGTTATTGCCTTCCGATATCACTGCTACAACTACTACTATTTACTACTGCTGCTATTATTATTATTTTATTATTATTATTATTATTATTATAAAAAGCTATCCTATGGTGGCGAGATATGTCATTGACCCTTACCTTCAATTGCAAAAAAAAAAAAAAAAAAAAAAAAAAAAAAAAAAAAAAAAAAAAAAAAAAAAAAAAAAAAAAAAAAAAAAAAAAAAAAAAAAAAAAAAGAGACAGTGCACAAAGTATTTCGCGTTCACGTAAGGTGCGGCCCTGGGGTGATGTAGGCAGCCTACCCTAATGCATACATCAGTTGCTGATTTCACGCTCGAACCCGTGACTCATAAGTCACGTGGAGATAACTTGACCTTTGCCCAAACTCCCCTTCAATTGCACTCAAGGACATTTTGTGGAAAGATTATCGAGGATATTAAATAATCTTTGACCCTTACATGTCAATCTGTAGGTGAAGCTAGTTTGGTATTACAACAATGCACTTGGGAGACCAAAGAAGAAGAAATTTATTGCTCAAGCAAAAGCGTACTCTGATTTCTCAACCCATGCTCTACTTCTACTATTATTATTATTATTATTATTATTATTGTTATTATTATTATTATTTGGCTGTATTCTGTATATTTTTTTGTTTGGCTTGCATAATATTCTTCATACGTCACCTTTAAACAGATATCATGGGGCCACTTTCATTTCTGCTAGTCTCTCTGGGTAATATATTATTTTATTTTATATGAAGATATTTGATTTGACACGGAGTTTATTGAAAAAAAAGTTTGGTGTTTTTGAAAGGTATCCTTAGATTTGTGGTCTTAAAAAGATATTATGACATTTCTGTTGCTTTAATTAAGAGTATTTTATTAAGGATAAAATGAAAAAGTTAAAAGAAAAGAACCTGGTATAAAATGGAAGGAAGGTATTATTTGTTTCCAGAATTATTTATACTAATATTTTATTTTGCAGTATTCCTGCACTACATCACAAATTCGATTTGCCAGCTTCATTTGTTTTGCACACTGACTGCCCTCACTATTGGCGATATCATCTGCTAGGTATTTATTTATCCTTATTTCTTATTGTACCCTAATCTTTTGGAGAAATCAGTAATTTTGGTGCAAATCAATATGTGTTAGAGAAATTAACTAAATTTGCACTATAATTAAATTTAAAACTTAGTTATTAACACATGAGAACGTTATTCTAAGATCTAGAACCTATAAAGTTTAACCTTGAGTCCATCTCTGCTGATCTTTTATGGTCAGAGGCGGACCTACACTTTGGGTAAGGGGGTCACCCGCCCGGTAATTTNCACGTCTTGACTTTTAGTGTTTTGTCTTGCTTCAATTTTCACTCTAGCATTTGCTTAAATTTTTATTCGGTAGTATTGCCCCCGCCAATTTACAATTTCAAATCCTGAGTCCACCTCTGTCTATGGTGTAAGTTGCTAGAAGTATCCACTAACATGTTGCATGTCAGGTGAGACGGAAGAGGAGTTCTCGACAAGGTTGGCCAATAATTTGGAAAATCTTATACTCAAAGAGGGACCTGAAACAGTAATTTTCATCTACTTTTATCACTTATTGTGTTTCCTTTGCAAATTTAACTGCAGTGAATGTTTACACCAAATCAATATACGTATTATATGTGTCACGACCCCAAATTTCATCCGTAGAATGTTGTCACGATCCAAAATTTTACCTGTCGTGATGGCGCCTATCTCGATACTAGGCAAGCCGACAATCTCAATAAACCACCATATCTTTTAAGTTTGAAAATATAATAATTAAATTCAGCGGAAAAAATCTTAAAAATATATATATAAACACTCCCAAAATCCGGTGTCACTGAGTACATGAGTAGCTAATATGAATATAAAGTCTGACTAATAAAAATACCGTCTGACGGTATAGAATAGAATAATAACTGAGAGAAACAGAGAGTTAAGGTCAGTGGACGCCATGCAGCTACCTTGATATCTAACAGTCGCTGTGTCCAAAAGCACCTGGATCTGCACACGAGGTACATAATGTAGTATGAGTACAACTAACTCAATACATAACAAGACTAACCTCTGGGCTGAAAGTAGTGACGAGCTCCGCTGGTACATTTCAGTACATAAATAATGGTACAGAAATGTAGGCATGCTTTCAAGTTCAACAGTTAAACTCAGTACTAGCAAAATAGATCAATTCTACATGATATGAGGAATGTGACATCTCAGTGGAAAGTCCTCATGTACTACTAATCACTAATCCACTCGGTACTGTTTATGGCCAATCCAGCCCAGGGATATTCCATCCCGTATATATATACACATCGACTAAAAGTCAGTCATTCAGTACCGTATAAGACCAACCTAGCCCTGGGGTAATTTATCCCCAAATATAAATAATACGGACAAGATCCATGTCCAGGAAAAATTCATCACGATATAAATAAGTAAGGCAAGTCCATGCCTTGGGAAGTCCATCCCGAATATATAATCATCTACGCTCACTAGGGGTGTGTACAGACTCCGGAGGGGCTCCTTCAGCCCAAGCGTAATATAAAGCCGATATGGCCTACTGCAAGCGGGCAGTCCCGATCCGTATAATAAATAAGCCTATAAGGCCTGCTGCAGGCGAGCAGTCCCGATCCGTATAATAATAAAGCCTATAAGGCCTACTGCTGGAGGGCAACCCCGATCCATATAATAATAAAAGCCTCTAAGGCCTGCTGCGGCGTGCAGTCCCGATCCAGAACAATAAAGTCTATAAGACCTGCTACGGCATGCAGCCCGATTCCATAATAATAATAAGAATAATAATAATAATAATAATAATATATATATATATATATATAGCCTGCTGCGGCGTGCAGTTCGATCCCATGAGTATCCTCACAATGGATGAATATGACTGAGTGTGAAATGTACATTTTTAAAATAATTAATTCAACAGCAACACGACCCCATAGGTCCCAAAATATCGGCGTGTAGCCTAAACATGATCTTTAATAATAGCATCAACTCAATTTCTCTAACACGTGGAGGATACATGGATAATAATATGGTTCTTTAAATTTTACAACTTCGCAGAATTTATTCAAGTCACAATTTCAATGGTGCACATCCACACGCTCGTCAACTATCATGTGTGTTACCTCCAAACAATTTATATAACACTAATTCAGAGATTCATACCCTCAGAACCAAGTTTAGAAGTGTTACTTAACTCAAACCGCATATTTTCTTACTCCGCTATGCCCTTGCCTCGTGAATTGGTCTCCAAACGTCCCGAATCTAGCCATAAGCAGTACAGTACAATCAATATAGGCTAAAGGAATCAATTCCACAAGAAAATACGAAATTATAGACACAAATTAGAAATCGGCTCAACCCCCCGGCCCACATCTCAAAATTCGACAAAAGATACAAAACCCGAATACCCATTCACTCACGAGTCTAAACATACCAAATTTACTCAAATCCGATAACAAAATCCCATTCAAAACCTCAAAATTCTAGTCCAAGAACTCTTCCTCATTTTCCCCAAATTTCCATCTCAAAACACTAATTAAATGATGAAAACATAGATATATTCGTATATATTGACTAAATCCGAGTTAGAATCACTTGCCCCGATATTTTTTCTTGCAAATCTCTCAAAAATCGCCTCTCCCCAAGCTTCAATTTGTCAAAAATAAAAAATGGGACGAAGCTCCCGTTTTATAACTTAAAGTTTCTGTCGAGGAGCTGCCCTCGATTTCCTGACCTCGATTTCCTGAGCCTCGATTTTTCCAGCCTCGATTTTTCCAGCCTCGATTTTCCAGCCTCGATTTCTAGCCGAAACATTCCAGCAGAAGAATTGCAATAGCTGTTTAAGTCTAAATTTTGATCTGTTAACCATCCGAAACTCACCAGAGACCCTCGAGACCTCAACCAAATACACCAGCAAATCCTAAAATATCATACGAACTTAGTCGAAACCTCAAATCACATAAAATAACGCTAAAATCACGAATCATATCCCAATTCAATCTTAAGGAACTTAAGAATTTCTAACTTCTACATTCGATGTCGAAACCTATCAAATCAATTCCGATTGACCTAAAATTTTGCACACAAGTCATAAATGACATAACAGAGCTATGAAAATTTTCAGAACTGGATTCTGACCCCGATATCAAATAGTCAACTCCCCGATCAAATTTCTCAAAAATTCAACTTTCGCCATTTCAAACCAAATTCCACTACGGACTTTCAAATTTTTTTTTTGGACATGCTCCTAAGTCCAAAATCATCATACGAAGCTATTGAAATCATCAAAACTCTATTCCGGGGTCGTTAACATATAAGTCAATATCCAGCTAACCTTTTCAACTTAAGTTTTCAATCTTGAGACTAAGGGTCTCAATTCATTCCGAAATCTCTCCGGACTCGAATTGACTACCCCGGCAAGTCACAATACAGTTATAAAGTACTGAATGAGCAGTAAATAGGGGAATGGGGCTACAACTCTAAAAATGACCGACCGGGTTATTACATTCTCCCCCACATAAACATACGTTCGTCCTCGAACGTACAAGAGTTGTTTCCAAGCCATCACATCACTATTCCATCTTACCACGCACATACCAGTGGGTGATCCCATACTACCCTATTCCATATAGGCCTGACAATCTAACATAATTGAAGATCATTACTTTAACTTTAGTCCGTAAAACTTAGAACCCAAATTTCCAACATCCAGAATTCTTTTCAAGACACGAATCTCACATCTACACACTGTATGAGTCTGAATAACTTGTATCAAGCCAAACCTCATTCCAAAACCTTCGTACACTACTGATAACAAAAGAAACACGTGGAATCTCATAACTCCTTATCATATCAACAAGTCATGGAGCTCTCTCGCCCCAACCAGAACCATAATCACTTTCTAAGATAACTTTCAATATTATCCTCCCAATATATCATAATAAAATCAGATAGTAACCACTCTAGGTCCAATGATCATATATTATTAAACACAACTATCCTACTGACATGCCACACCAATACAACTTAAGCCACAACTGCGCAACCGTGTACCCAAAATGGAAGATGCCTCAAAGTAGAGAACCGTATTGCAAGTTCAACAAGCACTGCCATAACTGCAATGCTATAAGCTCATATATGTAGTAAAACTAAGACACACGAATTTAATAACAGTAACCAGCTCTGCTAGAGCTCACATTAACATCACTCGCACGGAAAACTCACGTGCTATTGTATCAATATTTGGACCCGCACGGACAACTCACGTGCCAATAATATCATCCGTTGGCATGGTCACAGGCCTCCAGTACAATCATATCATACATGAGCAATCAAATAAGTACACATGTATATGATAAATGAATTAAGATTCTCATGCTCCTGGACTAGTATAAATAACATGACATAGAGTAGGCACGTGCAAAGTGTGCTATCACCACTCAAATCGGCAAGTTAATGTAGAATTAGTAACTACCCAATTTATTCAGGGAATTATCCTCTTTGTAACCTCAAGTGTAGCCCAGAGAGTTCTCGACAAAGGTACGAATACGAGAAACGTTATAACTTTACGCTTAACAGTCAACTCTAGGCATATCTTTGCCTAAGCATTCTTCCGAGTATGAATACTTTCCCCGATACCCGCACAAGGCTCAAACCTCACATAAATATGCACTCGTAGCGCGCAACTATCACAAATAATTAACGCAATTAGTGCCTCCACTGAGTTTAAATAAAATACTCACCTCAACAGGCTGTAGCCCTGAAACAATTTGCTTCTGAGAACTCCCAATCCCCCAATTTAATAGAACATATGAACCATCGTAACTGATCACAACTCCAGCGCTCGAATGACTATCACATCCTTCATGCACGATCATCCCACTAGGAATACTTTCATAATTCTTCCGTGCCAAATAACACTAATTTGAATATCAGCAGTCTATCAACTAGGTGAGTACCACAAAACCAATGAACATCCGTAAGTCAAAACACAATGCGCCTTCTGATATGCGCACCCTTCTCAGGAATTACCGAGCAGTTATAACATTCATCTAAATATCTCAAACTGACTATGTTGTCCAAAATTCGGGACCTTCCTTTCAAGGCTGAACTGTCATATTGTACATGTAAATTTTAGTCACGCACAACACACCGCATCTATCATACAATCATGTGAAAACTACGAGAATCTCATTATCAACTCTGAGTCACCAGCAAATTACATACCCGGTTAGTTAAAAACCTTCCATTTGCTTTCATCCAGGAGGAAATCATGATACACAACATGTCCTCCACGCCGGTAGAAAATATTTGGTTCGAATCATGATAGAAACCATCAAGAACACTTTGAAATCTATTTGCACATAATCAAGCTATCAGAACTGAATTCCTCTAGTTCGATCAAGCCATGCAGGTCACCCAAGAATATTGCCACAAAATACCCGTAAAGACCCACCTCATCATAAGAACCAAAAGAACCGAGCATACCATTACCATACTGATCCAGCATGTTACCCATTTGTCCTATTTTCTCCG